GGTCGTCGTACCACCTCTCCCAGTCCCTTTATCTGGCGAAAAGCCCCCATGTTCGTCCTTTCCTAGCATGACTCAATAGCACCACCAGTACGGCCTGCCCATGGACTACCACAACCATGAAAGGTTCGCTCTTTGGACCACCTTGTCGGGTCCCACCCCACCCTGTACATGGACCTGGTTTTCTTTTTGGACCACCTATTTGTTGACTACTGAGCGTTTATCCACACTGCTGCACTGGTGGTATTGTGCTACTACCGTCTTCACCCGAATAGAACGCCCGGTAATTATCGCCGTATCTGGGCGGAAAGTTGTGCCAAATACAGCTACAATGACCGGCCGTTATATTCGGGTGAAGACGGTAGTAGCTTGGCATGGGCCTGGTTTGCATTTTGGACCAGCTTACATGGAGCTGGTTTGCTTCTTTGACCACGTAGCTTCGCTGGTGGTGTTGTGCTAGCTTCGCATGGAGCTGGTTTGCTTTTTGCACCAGCTTCACTGCACTGGTGGTGTTGTGCTAGCTTCGCAGGGACTGGTTTGCGCATGAAGCCCGTCCAAAAAGTAAGTCAGCAGAGCCAAGACAAGATGGTCCAAAAAGCAGACCAGGTCCACGCTAAGCTGGCATCTCACGGTCCAAGTCCCGCAGATGTACATCGACTCCTTCCCCTCTGCCGGTAGGTGCGAAGTAAGTTCCGTTTCTATCTACCGTTGGTGATATGAAGACAACTGAGGGAAGACATCCCTACCGTCTTCACCCGGATGGAACACCCGGTCATTATAGCCGTATTCAGGGCAACTTTCAGTCCAGGTGCAGCTGTAATGACCGGGCGTTCTATTCGTCTGAACACTGTGGTGAATACCACCAGTGCAGCCAAGCCTTTAGAAGTGCATGAATGATGCCATGAAGCAAACCAGGTCCATCCTAAGCTAGCACTCCGCTGGGTCGTATGCTATGATATGACTATGTTTTGTGGGATGTGATGCCTGCTTTGATCATTGCGAACTACCGGCTTCCTCCCCGAAGTCAACCCATCCTTTTTACGTCTGTATTGGACTGGACGAGGACGACCAGGTCTTTGCCGACTTAGCACACACATAGCACGCACATAGCATAGACATAGGACGATTGGGCAGCGATGACAGCTGTCCCGTATGTCCCACGGCGGCGGCAGTGGAGGACATCACGCACTGCTTCCTCCATTGTCCGGAAGAGGACTGGAGCCGCGTGCGAAGCTTCTGGTCAGCCCTGAACGGCCTGGCCTTCCCGAACCAACCCCAACTGCTGCTGACTGGGCTGCCTTCTCCACCTTAGCCTGAGCCATACCAGCGCCTGCTTTTCTCCAGTCTCCGCCCGCTGGCACTCTGGTTTATCTGGAAAGGAAGGGTTGCAGCTACCCTCAGGGCCCTTCAGCAGCACCCTCAACAGTCCTGGCTGGAGCTGCTGCAGCTGTTGGAAGCGGAGTACAGAGCCGACTGGAAACGAATTCTGCAACAAACCAGGGTGAGCCCGCTAGCAGCATAGGACATCAAGAAGAAATTTTTAGATCAAGCCTTCGGTCGGGGAACGATAGCCACCGTTTATGGGAAAAGAACCATCCAGCCATTGGTCCCGTGGAGTTGGCTGAGGGGGAAGGTACACAGGGTAGTCCTCCCTGCCGTGCACACAGTCCAAGCCTGACTGTATGGTCAATTCTGGGACTGGACCATTTGCAACCAGCAACAAGAGTCCTGTGCCGGTCGTCACACGCCCGGGGGGGTTCCCTCGGGCACCAGCGTTTTGCTGGGCACGAACACCAGATGGGTTGGACTGGAGGCAGAAGGTGGACCCGGCCCCTTGTGGGGCCCGGAAAGCAAGCGAGTCAGTGGACCAGCCAGACCAGGGGACAAGGGTAGGGCAGGCAGCCGCACCTGGGTCTCTGGACCCGGGCTGGTGGAGCCCTTTCATGGTGGGCGGGAAGCGAGCGGGTCAGTGAGCCAGCTAAACCAGGGGCCAAGACACTGGATAGTTTGGACCAGTAGAGAAGCACGGTTGACCAGTAGAGAAGTACTGTGACTGGCCGACACAAGCGAAACTGGGTAAGGCTCTCAGTGGCTTTCTCCATCTCAACCTATCAGGGACGCTGGACGCATCAAGCGGGTCAGTGAGTCAGCTAACCAGGCGGCAAGAGCTGGGTAGGAAACCGCAGCCAGGACGCTGGATTGTTTGGACCAGTACAGAAGCACGGTGATAGCTGTGACCAGTAGGCAGTAGAGAAGTACAGTGACTGGCCGACACAAGTGAAACTGGGTAAGGCTCCCAGTGGTTTGTTCCATCTCGCAACGTATCAGGGATGCGAGACCCAGTTTACAGCAGGTGTAGCTCCCCACCAATAGACCGGAGCCTGCCGCTATGGCCCCTCGATCCTGGTGGCGCTTGTATTGTCCTGGGACCGCAGGGCGCCACAGGTTGTTAAAAAAAAAAAAAAAAAAAAAAAAAAAAAAAACAGGCACCTGCAGGAATGGCGAAAAGGGACGGTAAGAAAATGATCCCCACTGAAGGAAATGTGAAAGGGGACAGAAAGAAAATGATCCCACCTTACTCAGTACGTTGTACACCACTTCAAAGTTCCAAACTATCTTTCGCAATTTTGGCTGGCGCAACATCCGCCAGTGTAACTGTGACACTGCTAAACCACCAGTACCTTTCCGTATGTCGGCCGCGGGCACTGCGTGCCGGCCCAAAAATCAAGACTGGCCGCCGATTCGATTTATCGGCGGCCGCCCTTCCGTTTCAGGCCAGCGCACCTCTGGAAAAAATAGCTGGGAACGGTACTGGTGCTTTAAGCACCATTTCCCATTCCCGCAGTTCGTGCCAGAAAGAAGAAACAAGCACGTTTACCATCACACAGGCTGTGACATTTTCAAGCACCGTTTATGATCCCCGAGGGGATTGACTGGGGAGGAAGAAAACAAGGGAACGAGAAATGACTGTCATAATGTCATTTTATTTTTTATTTTTTTATTTTGAAGGGTGACAGCCTTGACATATCGTCATTGAATTGATGATTGAACCGATCAGCCCGGGGTAATGCATATTTTTTCCTTTTTTCATTCATATCTAGCTCCATCCTCTGGATTCGAACTTGGGTCGGTATTTCAACAGTTTGTGGGCGTACCAACGAGCCCGCACCAACTGAGCTAGGCTCGTTGGTGAGAAACTACCGTCGTAGTCGCAGACACCAGGATAAAAACACCGGACAAGGTACATACTACGCATGCAGTACAACATTTTTGCTGTGCTGTCATTCATCTAAACTTCGGCTTCGGTCTGTATTTCAACAGGTCGTGGGTGTACCAACTGAGCTGGGCTAGTCACAACACCAAGATTGGACGAGGTACATATGCATTACAATAAGTTCCCAATTTTAAGAGAATTCCCGCTAAGATAAAAGATCCAGCGGTGGGTGCTTCTACATGAGCTTAGTGCTGTGTATGTGGCAGCACCTCACTACTACTCGTCAATAGACTCAAGAGTCAAAACCCTTTTCTCCGGTTTGGGATGTGTTGTTTGAGCCTCTGTTCTGATCTGGGCCTGTTTTACACCCAGCACTGGCTAGCGATCATTTTTTAGGTCTGTAGCACTTTGTTTTGGGCTGAACCGTTTTTCTGAGGTCCAGCTCTGCTTTTCCTTTTGCAGGACTGGACGCAGGGCACGTTTTGGCACAGTTTCTGGGCCATTTCCATGGCCTGCAACCAGGACCGTCGATCGCTCTGCAGATCAGACGTCCCTGGATCCAGGCCGCCTCCAGATCCAGTAGGCCCGCGCGCTCTGCAGATCAGACGTCCCTTGTCTAGTGAGGCACTCAGTGTTTGGAGGTCACACTTCGACATGGTGCTGGCACAGCACTTCTAGTGAGTAGTAATGCTACCTTTTTCCCCCGAATACAACGTACGGTCATTATATCTGTATCTAGACGGAAATTTGCCTCAAATACAGCTATAATGACCGTACGTTGTATCCGGGGGAACAAGGTAGGCTAGGATTAGCGGTGGAGGATAGGAGGACTAGTGGATGAGGAGATCAGCTGAGGGCTATGTTGGAGAGGACTCACCTGGGGCGCCATCACTGGTTCTCCATTGCTGGCCACAGTCGAACTTTCCACCTGCAGCACGGACAGCTCAAGACTTCATCTGTTGCTGGTCAGTATCTCGTTACGTGTCCGCGCGCACATAAGAGAGAGAGAGAGAGAGAGAGAGAGAGAGAGAGAGAGAGAGAGAGAGAGAGAGAGAGAGAGAGAGAGAGAGAGAGAGAGAGAGAGAGAGAGAGAGACCTGTCTCTTATACACATCTAGATGTGTATAAGAGACAGCACACACACACACACACACAGAGAGAGAGAGAGAGAGAGAGAGAGAGAGAGAGAGAGAGAGAGAGAGAGAGAGAGAGAGAGAGAGAGAGTTGGTGACTGTTTCAGGCTATGCCCAGACTTGGACTGAGACTATTTTGGGACTATTGTGAGAGCCTATTGTCATTCGGCAGGCACATTGAGTTGTGCGGTCTCTTCTTTTTCTTCATCTGTCCACTCTCGTCTCATCTTCCACCTCATTTATCCATGGGTTATCGGACTATGAGTTTGGGGCAAGGCGACATCTTTCTTCTGTGTATGAGTCCGCCTTGTCCATCCCCAGTTCGACGGTGTATGTGCATGTGTCCTGTCCAGAGTCGGATGAGTCAGATCTGTGCATTTTCAGTCTCTGCTGCTCACATTGTTGTTTCTCACACTTCAGTGATTTCTTGATCTGTGCCATGCCTGTCTGCACCAGCTAGGCATGTGCCGTCACTCCTCTCCGCTTCTTTCCCCTCTATTATTTCACCCTTTCATACTTTTCTCCAGCATGAGGGTGCATTCATGTACTCCTTTCTCCGATCTTTTTTGTGTTGTTTCTTCTTCTCGAGGATTCGGATTGTGACACGGTGGCAGTTGGATTGACTGTCATTGTCTTCCCTCTGCTTTTATGTTGCAGGTATGATCCCTTATCAAGCTTGAGATCCATCTGGAAGATCCTTTATCAGTTAGGGATGCACCTGAAAGTTTTGAGCTGGTCTCGTTAGATGCCGTGGCACATCTCTCATTGATGGAACGTTGGAGGTAGTCCCTTTGATTTCATTGGATTTGTTTTGGTGGTGCAGTATTGACTAGTTTGTATAAAAGAGCACGGTTCTGTTTTGTTCTGTTTTGTTTTGTTTTTTGTTTTGTTTTCCACTGGAAAAGCAGAGGTACGCCTAAGAGTGAAGGAGCAAACGGCATGGAAAGCTGTAGAGAAGTAGGCTTGGAATGTTTCGAGTCTTGTACTTTCACTTGAAGTAGGCTTGGAATGCTTCGAGCTTGTACTTTCACTTGTTGTCCACTTGTGCACAACTGAAGTTCAGTTGTTGTGCACTTCTGCACAATTGAAGTATACAAAGAATGATTTTTTGATTGATATATATATATATATATCGTCAAATAGAACTGCCCGGTAAACCGTAGGCAGAGAGGGAGAAGAGGACAACAAACGAGTATATATATATCGGTTTTCGATAATTGGAGTGATAAGCACCTCCATCAAAAACTGTGGTAGTCCTTTGGGTCAGCGTATGGTCAAAAAAAGTTAAGCCTGACTTGTGCTTCTCATCATTCTTGCATGCCAGCCACCTTTGAGGTAAGTCCAGCAGCTTCCTCTCTACTGAATACTGATTGGATAAGGTGTGCCAACCTTCTTCTGAGAGAATCCTGTGCTCAGAGACCGTGACAGGAGATCTTTTGATGAATAGACAGGTTGCTAGACAGATAGGTAGGTAACTAGCTCAGTATCTACCAAGGTAGGGTAGGTAGCAAGAGAGAGAGAGAGAGAGAGAGAGAGAGAGAGAGAGAGAGAGAGAGAGAGAGAGAGAGAGAGAGAGAGAGAGAG